AATATTCAATGCCATTTTGCGAGAAAATTATAGAAAAAAAAGGATAGCTAAAAATACATTAAAAATTGTCCAAGTGGTTTCAAAATTTTTCACAAAACTACATTTCGTTGGCCTGTGTAATCCACATAATTTCCATACAAATTTCAAAATTTTGAATTTGTACAAACTATTTACATTTAAGCTCTTTATTGGGGAAGGAAAATTCAATGTTTTATTTGTTTTCGGTCGATTTTGGCTCTTTTCAAAATCAATTATTTTTGATCATCAGGGAGGAAGTATTTTTGGAAAATTAATACCGTATATTCATCTCCTATCCTGTCATAATATCAACAGATATATAGTCAGAAGTTTACGTATTCTATGTTATACACTCTTAGTGATTAACTACTGAATTTACTTGAACTTATTCGCAGGAAAAGACACTATTTTAGAAAGGTGTGTGTGTAAGAAAACATTAAATTAAGGAAACTTCTTTCAGATAAAAGTATTTATATTTAAAATATTTAGTTGTTTATCTTTTTCTGATAAGACTACGGTCGTTGTACTTTTCATTTCTATATAGATAAGAATAAATGTTGTTAAAACTATTTTTCTAGATTTATAAGTACATATTGAGCGGTAAAAGGGATTTTTTCGTTTTGCATGATTTTAACTTTTTTACCGTTTGAGAACGTCCTACATAAAATTCCACATAAAATCATAAATGATATTGATTGCTTTGGATTAAAACTTTTTACTTTTAATTTAAAAGTAAACATAAACTTTATATCATGAAAAATAGTTATTCAGCAATAATTTTCACTCCCCTAGAAGTATACCTGAAACTTCCATGATTTCTCTAACTAACAATATACTTATACATCTTTGAATTAATTTTTGGAAAAATTAAGAATACAATTAAAATAAAATTTGGCATAACATTTCCGACAATTGCGATAAAATATTTCTTTAATGTTAACACAAACTTTTTTCAATCTAAAGTAAATCCCGTAAACTTTACAAGTAAAATATAAATGTTTTAATATATGTGAAAAACAATAATCTAATTATAAATTTAATTTTTACAAACCATTTTAATACTTTTGAATTTTAACTTCTTTAAGACGTTTTAGGAAAGTTAAAATAAATTAATATTATTTATAAACTAATGCCCCTATTATGGTTTACAACTCAACTCTTCTTTAGTTGAAATTTTGCTCTTTGGTATTATCGATAACAACTTAAAATTTAAAGTTGAAATTTATTACAACTTTTTTGAAAAAAATTACAACTTATCAAAAGCAGTTGTAACAAATTACAACTCAATTGTTTAGAATAAATTTTTAAAATAAAACAAGGTAAAGTTTTTTTTTTTAAATTTTCTTAAATTTCATTAATCACTGATTTTAAGCGAATTTACAATAAAAAGATGTTTGTCATTTACGAAAAACAGAAATTCATAAACTTTTCACTTAATTTTATGACAAAAAAGCACTTTTTAGGTTGGCAACATCAACACAATTACAACTGAAATTGGTTGTAATTCATAATACCAAATATAAGTTGAGTTGTTCTAAAGTTGAGTTGTTTCAATTTCAACTCAACTGAGTTGAGTTGTAAACCATAATAGGGGCATAAATTTTCATCTAAAGGTGCTCCAAATACAAGTATTTTAGTTAACAAGAATGTTTGACAACGTTGTGAAATTTTAAATCTCAAAATGTACCAGATGCAAGTCCAAACGCTAAGAATAAAATTTTCCAATTTTCAGATATTCAAAATTAAGAAAAACTTCTAAATTAAGTAATCTGAAACTCCTAATGAACTCTCATTTCCCACCCGGTATATCAAATAACAGATGAACCGATATTGGAGGAAGGGGAGGCTAACACAGAAATTGTAATTACATATGATATGGTTAAAGGGACAATCAAGAGCTTCGCTCCCTATAAAGCTGTTGGGCCGGATGGCATTTTCCCGGCACTCTTACAGATGGAGGCGGGACTGGTTTCCGTACATCTGTCTCATGCTTTAAATTCACTTATATCCCCATTAAATGGTAGGATGCAAGGGTAATATTTATACCTAAACCAGGGAAACCTAGCTATGCTACACCTAAGTCCTATCGACCGATAAGTCTTACGTCCTTCCTACTTAAAACCTTGAAACGGATAGTCGATAGTATGGTTAAAAGCAGTATAAACGACAAAGACCTAAAATTTAAGCAGCATGCTTATATAAAGGGATGATCGGTGGAAACGGCTTTAAACGAAGTTGTTCACTACATAAGTGAATCCTTCGATAGCAAACTGTATACACTGGCGGTATGCACTGACATCGAAGGCGCATTCAATAACGTGCACACTGATACTCTTATCCAATCCCTAGACCAGTTTTATGTTGACCGGACAATTGGCTTTATAAAAGTGTAATTAGACCAATTCTAGCTTATGCTTCAATAATCTGGTGGACTGCTTTGGACAAAAAGTGTAACATCAAACTACTACAGGGAGTTCAGCGTACATGCTGCTTGGGTTTAAGTGGTACTATGTGTACTTCTTCAACCAAAGCTCTGGAAACGTTGATAAATATTCCACCCTTTGAAACATATTTAAGATATGAGGCGGCGCTTACAGCCGAACGTCTCTTTACTTTATGCGAACTGGCCAAAAGTGGTTATAGGACACATCATCAATGTATACTGGACACATTGGAAGGTTATACACAATCATCGGACGTGCCTGATCGCATACCAGACACAGAATATGCCGGAAACTTTGAAACGCTGATCCCAGATAGAATATCTTGGTCAAGCGGAAAACTAGAGCAAATACTAGTAGGAATGCGTGTGAATGGGGTTCTATATTGAAGACCCAGAAACAGAAATATGCCACCGTTTACCTAATCTATGAATACTCTCCCAGAGGTAAGGTTTACATCGTATGGGTACCAGGCCATTCGGGAGTAGTCGGCAACGAAAGGGCGAATGTAATAGCTTTAAAGGGAAGGGAGCTCGAGGTAGTTAACCTGATGAACGCAAAACCATTCGACGCGACAAAAGCTTAAGATCCTATAGGGTGACCCTGATGAGAACAAGACGAGAAATCTCCTCAAAATGAGCAAGTCTAAAGTTAGTATGATGGTACGTATTCTGAGTGGACACACAGGATTACGAGCACACCTATACAAAATTGGCCGTGCGGATTCAGACGAATGTAGAGCATGTGGAGAGGACAGTGAAACTCTGGAGCACTTTCTTTGCCACTGTCAAGCATTCGTCGATGTTAGATCCAAGTATCTTGGAAGTGGTGTTATTCCGGAAATAACATTACTTACTAACACTGATTGGAAAATTCTTAGGAATTACGACCATTACTGAGTTTCTGAACAATGAAAAATAATATACTCAGTGAGCAAAAATTTTTTTCATGAAAAGGAGCGCACAACAGGCCCGATAGTGGCCTAGGTGTATTTCTTTGGATTTGATGTACTATACATCCTCCTATCAACCCAACCTAAGTAGATCTAGAATCGGTGAAAACAGATACAAAAAATTACTTAAAATAATATCAATTAAATATTAATCTTTAGAGAAATTAAATTTCCAATACCAAACAAACCTTGCCTATAGGCAACATTTTAGCTTTATCCGTTCGGACCGTTCGTGCTATCAAGAGATATACGGACACAGGATATAAACATATACTTTTGTAAGTCTATGATCAATATTTCGATGTGTTACAAACGGTATAACAAAATCAATATAACCCATCAAGTCCTCCTAAATTGGCAAAATCCGACACTGTGCATTGTGTGATCCTAGACACATACATATGTATGTATGTATATTATCTCCAAAACAACAGTTTTAAAAAAATAACATCAATCAGACCATAATAACATCAAATCAATAAATTTCTTTCCTTAAAATTTAGATTAAAATCATCCTGGGCAATTTGCATTAATTTTCAATTAACATTAAATTAAAAAAAATGTAATGCCAAAATATTGCATTAACTTTATTAAATGCATTAATTTTGCATGTTACAAATTTCATCAAATTATGTTGAATTGCGACCTGTAGCGTGCGCACATTGACACAGTCAGACATATGGACAACATACATACATATGTATATAGCTATAGCTTAATCGACACAGAAAGTGATTCTAAGCCGATTGCTGTTGCAAAGATCCAATTCAAAACGCATAATACCATTCCCGCTCTAGTGGTGTAGGGTGTAAATATCCTTCATAAGGGAGATATGAAACTATTATTTTTTTTCCCATTCATTCAATTTCGTTTTTTTATTTTGCTTAATAATAGCGTTTGATACGTAAGCTCTTTAGAATAAAAGTTTTTGACGTAAATAAACCAAATTTTGGTCCAATTGCAGTGACTAATTTTCGTTATAAATTGTTAATAATCTGTTGAAAACATAAGTTTAATTGTTTGTGTTTGTAACAAAAAATCATTATAAAACCGAAAATAATAGACACTTGCATAAATGTGAAACTACATACATACATATACATATAATTTAAATGAACGGATATTTTTGAGCACTCAGTTCAAAATGTTAGTTTTTTAGTCAGGACAGAATGAAATGAGTGTACTACATACATATGTACCTTATATGTATATGTATGATCTTTTTATTAAAAACTAATAAATTACAAAAGCTGTTGCAACAAATTTAATTGACTTCCGAATTCTTTGTGTTTAAAATTAAATTTTATATACATATATTAAGTCAGTCAGTCGCTAGACTGCCGCTTCGTCAAAATTTCGTCCAATCAAGAGAACATAATAAACCACCCCGTTTAAAGTAAAATCCTAAAAGTATCGCAAAGGAATTAATTGAAATAGAAAAACTACGCATATACACATATCATTAAATACATATGCATGTTTGTATGTTTGTATATGTATAGATAAAGACAAACACTTACACACTTTAAACGTAAACAAACTTTATATAATTTAATTTTAAATTTAAGAAACAAAAACAAATAACTTACCGAGGATTAATAATTTAGTGGCGACAAAAAAATACCCAATAACTAATAATAAAGAAAGATTGCTTATGAGAAAGAGGGAGAGAGACGAGTGTTCGTCATAAGGTTGTTAGTTGGATGGTTGGCTACAGTTCGTCGTATAAATTTCCAAATATCGAAATTTTAAAGTTGTTGTTTTTCAACTTTATTTTTCTTCTTCTTTGTCTTCTGTGTAGTAAATCAATTATACAACTGTGTGTATTATGATGGGTGTGTAATATCGGCGTTTTTATTAGTTGTTTTTTTTTTTTTTTTTCTTTTTTTCCTTTTTGAAATTATTAAACTTTAACACAGTATTTTAATATAATAAATATAATTTATAGAATTTTTTCTAAACATTCAAGATGATTTTTTTAAAACATTTTTAAGGCATTTCCACATTTTGTATCAATGGTATACACAAATATGCATATCAAAAATCATTTCGACCGAGTTGAGGGCGAATTTCGTTTTATTTTTTAATATATACTTATGTGTGTATTTATTATATATTTCTTTTAAATATTTTTCATGTTTTTCAAATAAACCGTGGCACAAACTGAAATCGAATATTTAAATTAATAAATTCTTGTTTAAGTTAAAATAACTCGGAATTCATACAGATTGTCTGTAACTCTTAAAATTATTTTTTTTTTCTTAAAACAAGAAAATTCAGGTTTATCTAGTTAAGAAAAAAAAAACGCGTATCTTCGTTTTGTAACAACACGTACATATGAAGTCAGAGAGTAAACTAAATGCAATTTAGAGTTTCTATCAGATACAATACAATGTATTCCATCAGATACATCACCCTGAGTGTTGAATGTGTTGGTTACCATTGTTATGTTGTATCTGTGCCTTAGTTGTAATACAATAGAATACTTACGTTACGTTGTATACACATATATTCCAAACGCGTATAACAATAATGTTTTTTTTTTTTTTTTGTGGAACGCGATTTTTCGGTTGGCAACACTGTTGAGATATTTGACATATATAAATTTTTTAAATGTATGTTTTGAAAAATATAAAATTATTATGTAATTATGATTGCAAAAATATTACATTAGGCATTTTTGCAAAGTTAGTTGTTAATTAAAAGGTTTTATCAGAAACTAAAAAATAATGAAGTTTTAAAAATTCCTTTTTGTGGCATTTTTGAGACGTTATAACAGGGCCAAGACAACTTTATTGTATGTCATCATTTTGTCAGCTTTAAAAAGGCTGTCATATACATATATCTAGAGTTTGTAAACAGGGTTTTATTACATATTTCGGTGTTTCGTAACAGAAAACTTTTTTTAAAGAATTATAAGAAAATATCACATTTTAAAAATTGTTTATACAAAATTTTATATATTATTTTTCGTTCATGTTTATAAATACGGATCTAAGATTTTTAAGCAAATGTTAGGAAATGTTAAAAATATTTTATGGAGATTTACAATTCAGGAAATTGGTTAAAAGTTGGCAGAAATTAAATATTTATACTTAACCAGTGTTGCTAAAACGATAGATCTGGCGATATTTTATCATCAAAACGGCAACAATTCGTAAAAACCCGCTAAATGTATTTTTAGGTGCAAAACATTTTAGTTTTGCGAGTTTAAGCGGTATTTTATAAATATGAAAAAAAGATACTGATTAGTCATTGTATTATTAATGGTATTTTTTTAAATTCTTTATAAAATGCAAAATTATCTAGGCAAACTTATATTCTCTATATAAACCAGTATCTGGGTTATAAATTCTTACACAAATTTTATTGCTAAATTCAATGCCCTCATCTCTTTAAAAACACTGGTGGATAGCGTTTTTACCACATAAACTCTGAAAGAAAATTCTTGTTTAACTTTCTTTTTAAATTACTTAGGGCCATTATAACAACTTGTCTTTAATGTTCTTAATAGTAAAATGTAACTTTAATTAAAGTGGGAAATAAAGTGAACTTTAAATATTTTCATTATTACCTTTTTTATACCAAAACTGTAGCATACTTTTAGCCGTTAATAATATTTTTCATATGAAAAATGATATTGAGTTTATTTTTACTTCAAATTTTTACAAAAATTTCTAAAGCTTACGTTATTAAAAGTTAAAAAATGCCTATCGTATATTTTTAGCTTAAAGTTGACTTGTAATAACGAAGAACACCACATTTTTAAGATGGAAAGTCATTAGCAGAGTAAATAGGGTCCAGTGATCAATATTTTAACAGAAAATATCTCTACCATATTGAAAATATCTCAAAAATTTCGTAGTTTTGAGTTGATTACGGGACAAATAATCTTAAAATTTTTGTAGAGTATTTTTGGTTCACAAAATGATTTTTAGTGTGTCCAACCCAGACATCTATTTCTAAAAGAGCGAAAATAAGCTTTTTATCGAAATAAGTGTCAAAATTGTCGTAATTTTGTCGTAATTTTAGCTTCAGAGACCCATAGGGTCCATTGTAATTCCCTTTAATAAAAAATTAAGAACTAGAAACTTAGAGAGAAGACAGAAAAGTAAGAGAGAGAAAGAAAAATAGTGAGAAGAGTAAGAATTTCCTCCCGTAAAGGATTACAAAAAAGAAAGTGGAAATTACCTGAATAACCAAGATATTCCCCTGATGAAACCTAATATGTCACCTAAGTGACATATAGTCTATAGTAATATTATAGTAATATAACAGATGAGGGTTTTACAGAACTATCCCTACTGTTAAGATCAAGCTCTGAACCCTGTCTGGTCAATTCATCTGCGATCTCGTTTCCTAGAATATAACAATGTCCCGGTACCCAACACAGCCCCACTGTGTATAACCTGTCCAATGATTCTATTTTACAGCTAGTTACCAAGCTAGAATGTAACATGTGACATTCTAGCTGCCTGACTATCAACGTAAATCGTTACCACCGAGCCCCTAGTAATGTGTGTCACAATGATATCCGCTACATTCGTCCGGAAGTCTATATGACACTCTTATGTTATCATCAGGGAAACCAAAATATGCAAACGCATGTTTTTTGTGGTGCGTCGTATGGACTCATGGATAAGATATTTACACGTTTCAGACCAATTTAAGAATTTTGGCATCGATTTGTTAGAGCATATTTTTGCATATTTTACCCATAAGAGCATAATTTTGCATGATTTGACTTTTGTAGCATATTTAAGGCATATTTTCGAGTTTTTAGAGCATATTTTACTCATTTAGTGCATATTTTGAAGTTTTTTCGCTTTTTTCAAAAATTTTAATTTTCTTTTCAAAACTTTATTTAAAAAAAATCAGATTTAATTTTTTATTTTTTTTATTTTTTAGCCTAATTTACAATTTTGAAAAAAATTATTTTCGTTTGTAGAACTTGAAAACTGCAAAAAATACATTAGTCTCATGAAAACCAATGTTATAGTTTTTTACTCAATAAAGCATTAAATTTTAAATCGAACATAAAACCGATTACATTGGATTTCATGAGACCAATCCATTTTTATCGTTTTAAAAACTAGTATTGATAACACTGTAAGTATGTCAAAAAGACACAGAAAACCCCGAGACACCTAAACTTAATTTTGGGTCGTAGAATTTAGTGGCTTACTCCGTTTTGAAAATTTAGGTCAAAATCGGGAGATATTGCGTTTTAAAGTTTTTAAATTTTGAAAAAAGTTTTCACGCATAGACATACGAACTAATTATAAAACACTAAATATATGTATATGCATAATTAATTCAAATGGACTCTAGTTTCATGTATTTATATACTTTTCTATGCGTGAAAGTTTTTTTTTTAATTTAAATAATTAAAAAACACCTCAGAAACAGTGTAAACTTTAGAATCCAATATCTCCCGATTTTGACCCAACTTTTCAAAACGGAGTATGCCACTAGATTCTACGATCGAAAATTAAGTTCACGTGTTTCGGCGTTTTTCTGTGTCTTTTTGAAAGTTGAAATTTGAATTACAGTGTAATTATTGGATTTTATGACAACACGGATTAAAATGTCAGTTTAGAAGCTATAAATACAATTGGAAGAAATGTGTTAAACTTTGTCGTTTGAAATATGTTTTTTGGGGACCAAATGGCTTCATGTTATTTATTAATTATCTGAACGTAAAACTGAGTTCTATTAAACTAGTTCTTCAAACTATGAGATGAATCAATTATAAAAAAAGACTGCGCACCCCTCAAACACTACTTCGGACCCAATCCACTCATCCCTACTAGGAACAGAATAATATTAATAGTTTTGCATTTGGTTTGGTCCATTTTAAAATTTTTTGAAATTTGCTCATTATAAAACACTAAAAGCCGTTTTGCGGTTTATACACTAACAAAATTACGGAATTTTTGAGGTCCATTTCGAAAAGATTGCAGAAATTTTTTTTACATATTGTACTGATCGCAGGTAGGGAACTGAGGAGCTCTTCAGAAAAATTGTTTTTTTATTATATTAAGACTATTAGCATTAACAGTGGTATTTAGTTCATTAAAACGCATCGTTTGAGAGGAATTCCTCCAAAAAAGTGGTCCACGGAACCCCAATGTACATATATTATTGCAATTATTTTGTGAACCATGATTGTTTAATATAATCGTTTTTCATACAAATAATATTTTGCGGTATAGTTAGTTTATTTATATAAAGATTCAGTGGTTTCTAGCGTTTCTTCACTATCCATCTGGTGAGATGTGACCTAAAAGTTTAGTCAACACTGTACATACTTAAAGGTGGAAATACAAAACACGCGTTGTACGCGGCAATGCGTTATAGGCTTCTGTCAAAAAAAGTTGAAATAGTGTACATTCATTTAACTGTAGTTTGTAACACGTCTGCTGGAGGTCCACATCACGTGTCTTCGCGGCAAAGCATTTCGTGCTTTTCATACATTCTTTGCATCCTACGCATCAAGTTACATGATACGCTTCTTAAGCGTCAAATTTTTGCTTTATTTACAAAGAACTTTTTTGTTTATATTTTCAGAATTTAACTCGTTTTAGTTATTAAAATTGATGATAAATAAATACACATTAAAAACAGAATATAAATTGTCAAAATCAGCTGACATATTCGTGCCCCGCTTACGACGCTTACAAAAGTAGAAAGTAGATCTACTTTAAGCATTCTACGCGTCAAAGCATCCTACGCTTTTGTGCTTGTAACTTCTAGCACACAACAACATTGATTCTACTTTTTTGACAGCAGCGTAGAACGCGTGGTGTGACCTCCAGCTTAAAACGCGTTGCCGCCTCAATGCGTGTTGTGTACTTCCACTTTAAGGTGGTATTAGACGACATGTATTTTACATATGTACTGTCACTTTTTTATCCATATGTAATTTCAAATGTTTGTCAAAATTGTCATTTTATATATGTAAAATACATGTCGTCTAATACCACCTTTAAAGGTCCTGGTCACACCATTTTTTATTGATATCTGTACAGTGGCGTGCAAAAGTGTTTTCATGTCGGCCAGTTTCCAAATAAAATTGTTTTTAGCTAAAATATTTTGAAATAATTTCACATGTTTATTCTATATATTTTTAAGACTACATTATAGTGTAGAAAATTTAAAAAAAACATTACAACTCTGGTTATCGAGCACCATAAGCCCCCTTTACACGAGCACACAAGTAATATGATCTGTCAAAATTTTGTGTAGAAGAGAACGGATAGGATCGTCCAAACGCAATACGGATGGAAAATTTGACAGTCGTATGGCTTTCTTCATTTTTTGAAATAATTCAAAAA